CTCTCTCTGCACAACAAATATGTTCGTTGTGAAACAAATAAACTCCCGTGCACCACTTACCGTTTAAGCCTTGTGAAAATCACACAACACATTTAGAAATTAACTCAGAAACTAACTCTCTACAGTACAATTCCAGGCTCTACCACAGATCCACTAGCAATGACAATTGCAAGCCCGACCGACATTTGGCAAGCCAGTAGTTGTCGGTCTCTGCTGTTCATACTGGCGATAAGTGAATTGCTTAAGAATAAACCTTCTCTGCATGCCTCTAGTATTTTGGCGAATTGATTGAAAGCTTAAAGTAGTCAGTTGTAGCTAGTGAACATTCGATGAACTAACTTCATTTTCCTTTACAGCTTACAGCTACTGCCTTATCCTTATAGTAATAAATCATGAATGGTGTGCAAAGTCAGTTTGTTAAATAAATTGTGTGCAAAATCTAACACAAATTTTCACAACAGCAATAGTGATAGGGTGAAACCAGATAGAATAACGTGAATGGTTTGTCATCTTACTTTCGTGTAAACGGTTTCCACGTATTCCTTCCTCTGAGATTCCTTTCTCTACGGTTAATTTTGAGATGTTATCGTGTTTCTGTTTCATATTGGCCTGATTTTCACTGACAACTAATTATTTTTCATCGAATTTCAAAGGAATGATGGCACGTCGCACAACAACAGCGTCGTCGCGGAAAGATGAATTGACTAAGCTGAATGAAGTGGACGAAAACAGACGGCAAGACGATTCCAACAACAACGATATTAGCAAAGAAACTGGTGATGACGGTCACGACGAGGTTGTTGTAAGTATTTTTGGTAACGTATTGAATAGTTGAAGATCTTAAGATGAGTTTCAATTGGTCTCTATCTTGGTTATAAACAAATGACATAATTCGGAAACGAAACGCATCGCATTTTATCGAATCGGTTTTCTCAGTTCTTTAATGGTTAATGCTGCTTATTGTAAGTTGAAAATTGAGTCGATCTATTGACGAGTTTCAAAATATATCTGTAGAAGTGGTTCAGTCTATTTGTTGGTTTCAAAGAATTGCAATGAAATTGATCAGGAACATGGTTGTTCGGTATATTACAATAATTTGTAATATGCGGAATTGCATGTGTCAGATCAAGATTTTTGATATTGTATTGGTTTCGAGTGATACTCGATGATTGAATAGAGTTTATGCCTTACTGGTGCCACTGAATGCTGCCTGTTTCATCCAGATAATCAGCAAAGTGAATTAGAATTTTTTGCAGAAAGACTCTCAGTGGGACGACGAATGTGCTGTATTCATACTGAAGCAAACGTTGTTCAGTCGATGTCTGTTGTTCATTATTCAGTTGATATTCAACGCAATTGTCACTGATTTTCCAACGGATGCTTTCAAAGGAACTCCCGTTCCTGAAGGTTCGATTACTTTTACAAATATAGAAAGTTTTCATTAGTTGCCGATTGTCTTTCTGTTAAATGCAGTTTTGATTCAGTTGAAGGTATTAAATTTGATTACTTCA